ATAGATAAAAATTTGCTTTATTTAATTGATATAATTAATTTTATTTAATTTATGTTTTAAAAATTTTAAATCAATATTTGTTATTTTTATGTTAATTTTATGCTAACAAATTTGTCCAGAGTTGTACTAATACTAATTTATGAAAATCTCAAAATGAAAATACAGACTCCAGACAAGGACCGACGGGCCTTGTCTGGAGTCTGTATTTTCTTACTACTTATGCCTGTTTATTATTAACCATTTTTTCAAACCAATTAATAAACTCAATTATATAATACAAAAATACTAAATCATAAAAAGCTTTAATTTTACGATCAAAATGAAACAAATTATGTTAAAATATTANTAATATGCCTGTTTATTATTAACCATTTTTTCAAACCAATTAATAAACTCAATTATATAATACAAAAATACTAAATCATAAAAAGCTTTAATTTTACGATCAAAATGAAACAAATTATGTTAAAATATTAATTATATAAATTACAACAACAAAAAATACTAACAATCTTATATTGGCAGGTGATATTATTTATTAACATTTAGGGCATTAAAACAAATAATAATATACTTTGCACTAATATTGATCTAGTGGAAATAATTGATGATATTATACATTAGTTAAATCAATTGTAAATTACATATAATTAATAATCATCAACATCTGGCATACTATAGTACATTTTAACGCAATGTGCCATGCTTATATAAAGTATACTTTACATATAACAATTAAAAAGTATAAATACAGCATGATGTTTATATTACAAAATCAATTCATTCAATAGTAAATTTTTATTTATAATTATAAAAATCTTAATTTGTACATAAATAACCATGCTCAAACTCGCAGCAATCGCAGCGTTGGTATGCATAACATCGGCCGGACTCAACCCATTTGGACTAATGGGCGGACTCGTCCACAATGCGCTTACCGGTGCCAATCAGGCAGTACATCAAAGCCTGGATATAGCGGGAAAACATGCGGACATTCAAACTCACCTGGCTTATGGTATTATTGGAAAGGTGCTGGGTGAAAACAATATAATTCATAAAGTACTCGGTGGTGCCAATCAGGCTGCCCATAGCGGTATAGATTTTGCCGGGCGGTAGAAGACACCAAAACTCGTTTGGCCGACGGTTTGTTCAATAGGTTTGGTAATCAGTTACCCTCACGTATGTACAGAATAATAATTGTCATTTTTAGTTAGATTTTAAAAACAAGTTAATAATACAAGTTTACAAAATAAATTATAATAATGTTTGTTTACAAAAAAAATAAATACCACCGATGATGATGCCGAATATTACCAAGTAAAAAACTCACGTGATTTCACCGGCAAAGTTGTGTTGGTCACTTTGTCCAACTCGGGTCTGGCCGAGGGTACTATCAAATTGTTTTCAATACTCGGCGCCAATTTGGTCATCACCGGAACCAATGCCACCCATTTGGCAGAAATAGCACAACTGGCACAACAACAATCGCCCACACATAACAACAAGGTAAACAACATTTTTAATTAACTTGGTGAATATGTTAAAAATAGAGTAGATTTTAACGATACCATAGATTTTGCATTAATGTTATTGCATATATTTTAATGTTGTGTTAATTAATTAATTACAGCCGTTGCGAGTTGTGGCAGATCTGACCAAAACCGCAGACATCGAGCGACTGGTCGGCGAAATTGTGTACAAATTCGGTCGATTGGACGCAATGATCACATTTGCCAACAGTTATCCCCTGTTGAACATTACGGACACAAACCTAATAGATGTGTGGGACCAGACATTACGGGCCGATCTCAGGGCCACCGCTGAGCTCTTTCACCTGACCTACCCTTTGCTGGAGAAGGCCAGGGGTTCCGCCACTGTTGTCGCCACCATTGCCGGCGTCGCACCGGTATATAATACACATATTGTATACTCTTTTAAATAATAATATTTACCCTGGTGTTTTTTTATACGTGCAATTATTACCTAGGTTGCTGTGGAACTGGCCTATAGTACCGCCAAACCAGGCATTCAACACATGGTTAAAAATCTAGCCCTCGAGTTGGGCGCAAAGGGAGTGCGAGTGAATACTATCAAGTAATTAGACATTGATCTGAATAATTATAAAAGTATATTGTATGTAATAATCACCATGATAATAGTGTTGGTGCGATTACACCCGACGGCACAAATCTCGGTAACCCAGTGTGTGCGCTGATAAAGAAAAAGGCACCGTTGGGTCATTTGGGTGTACCCTTGGATGTGGCCAAAGGGGCTGTGTTTTTATCGTCATCTGATGCCAAGTATATCACCGGGGCCAATTTGGTCATCGATGGCGGTATCATTTATAATTACCCCTCTTATTTTAAATAATGTAACAAAGTAAATTTAAATATTATTAATTACACTGATATATCCAAATATCTAGCAATTGTATAAATCAATAATTATAAGAATAAATAAAATTATGAATTATGGGCAAACAAAATTGTGCTAATTTAATATTTGATTTATTTGCGTGAATGTCCAAAACGAATGGTAAAATTTGATTTATAAACTGTAATTAAATTTATATTTAGTGGTAAACATTATTGGAATTTATTTCAGTTAAATTAATTGGTTACCATAGAAGGGACGTTGTAAAACAGCACAATCCATTTTTTCTAACAAATAAAAACTTCTACTTCCTTTATATATAATTAAAACTAAAATTTATATTATTTTAAAATATCGATCAAATTAGTATTCTCGTACAATATATTTATAATCATACACAATTATTAATTAAAATCATTAAGCAACAGGGTACCCGCGTACAATATTAGGCTATTTATTATATGTTTGAAAACGGGTACAATACTTATGACACCTCTAATTAAATATACACGAGGTAGCAATGTTTACTTTTATCTTGGGCATAGAGACAATCAATTTGTATAAACTGTTATTGTGTAATTATACAAAATAAAGTATAATATTTCATATCAAATAAAATAGTATTTTGGCCACAGTGCATGACCCACGTAAGTTTTAATTGTTTGCTGTAAAGCATGATATTTTGTATTATATTTTTTGTTATGGCATTTCTAAAAGTATACGCAATGATGTACAACTAATTTTTGCTTTAGATTAAATTATAAAATATTAAAAGTTAAACCTATACTTAAAATTATTAAAAACTATTATTAAATATTTTAAAGTATAATATTTAAATTTAATAAAAATGTTCTCCAAATATAATTATAAATTGTATTTTACAGACAAAAATGTATTTTGTTTTATAATAATTTACAAATATAGATACAGATACTAACTTAAATTTTAATATATAAAATATAAGAATACCCCAGCGACCATATTTCCCGTTTTATATTTACTACCATAATAGATTATATAATTAATTCAATTATTAGTTAGATTTACAGTTTGTTCTATTTTTTTGGAAATTATTTTAATATCGGAACAGAATAGATATTTTTATTATGATTAGTGCTTATATTTATATTTAAATAAATGTTTTCCCCGGTTAACTCTACATTCATAAGACTTTGGGGGCAAACGAATCATATCTTAAGAGCCCTTTTAACGAAGTTTTATTTCACATATAAATACATATTTGACTCATAAATAAATATATTTAAATATCTGGCTTTTACTTGAAAAACATGTGTTTTTGACGAGAAAAACAATATAATCCACTCAAAAAAGTTTGCATTCATTATAAGAATGAGCAAAATATATAATTAATAAAAATGCTTTCATAATTTATTTGACAACGACATTATCTATTTTCTCCATGTGTTTCATAATGTTCTGAAAAGTTAAAATTATGATATGTCTCGACTTTAATTCAATCAAATTATATATTTTTCAAATATAATTAGACTTTTAAGCGTCTATTTTAACCAATAATGATCTTTTAATATAAAATAACTAACAATAATTTGCTACAATACCCACAGAATTCATGAAAATGTGTTTATAAGGAAATTTTTAAAAATTATAACTAAATATTTAAACAAATATTTACCCACTTTTTAGTAAATATTATATAACATATTTGATCACTTATAAATACATATATTTCTACGCTTTAATTATGATTATCTAATTATTGTTTTATTTTCATTCTAAACAAGCAAGGCAAGTGTATAAATATTATTTATTTTAATTATTATTTCAGATTCATAATGCCGATGTTTAAATCTGTTGGTCATATCAAAGTATGTGGGATACAATTATAAGCTTATAACATTAATTTTAGTAAGAAAAACTTCATGAATGAATTGGGTAAAAATTTAATTATATTAATAGTTGTAAAACTAACTATAAATAGGCATTATGAATAATCTAAACAATCTAACAAGCATCTAAATAATTTAAAAAATTATATGGTATTTAATATTGTATGTAATAATCACCATAACAATAGTGATGGTGCGATTACACCCAACGGTACAAATCTCGGTAACCCAGTGTTGGCGCTGACGGAGAAAAAAGCACCGTTGGCTGTGTTTTTATCGTCATCTGATGCCAAGTATATCACCGGGGCCAATTTGGTCATTAATAGCGGTATCATCTATAATTACCCCTCTTATTTTAAATAACATAATTATTTGAAATTAACTAAAAATTACATTAATATATTTGGACATTTTGAAATTGTAAAAATCAACTAATAATTTTTTGGCAAATTATGCATGTTTTAAGTTATTTGGTTAAAATTATTAAAAATGTACAATTGAAAAATATACTGTATTATACTTTATTTAATATTTCCAAGCGTATTTAATATGTAATGTATTTGCATAGATAAACATAAAATATAAAATCAATACTCATCCAAATATTAATTTGTTAATAATAATTTAATTAATCTAAATATATTTATGATAGATCATTACAGTTGATAAAATAATATTAAAACAATTGAAACATGTTTTACAAATAAGATAGATCACAGCACAATATTAATTTTAAAGCAGCATGCTAAACACAAACTATTTTTAAATAAAGTGTTTTTATGTGTCAAATAATTACAACAATTTTATGACAAATTTATATATGTCAAATAAAGTGCCCTTAAAACGTACGATTGCTTTTAAATATACTGTTATGATTTATTATAAAATTAATTATTGCTAACAATAAATTTTATTATTATTATTAATTACACATGTATATCCAAAAACCTAGCAATTGTACGAATCAATAATTACAATTATAAATGAAATTATAAAATATAAGGCAAACTATGAACAAAAAGGCAGCTTTTGTAAATTTGTCGCTATTAATTAATAAGTAACTGTTTAAATTTAATTAAGATCTTTATTCAATAGCATGATAAATATACTTTTCACTGACAATTCAAAAACAATTATATTTTAATTAATTATATGGCAAAATTAAATTAACAAATTGTGTTCACCGAAAATTCTCATTTTCATTTAATTCTGAGTTTTAGTGTATAAATCTTAATCATTAAATTATAAATATATAACAAATGATGCTTTAAAAATTATTTTAACAATTGTAGATTTGATTTAACAATATCCAAGTTATAATCTGTTAATAATAGTTTAATTAATCTAATTAAATATTTATAAAATAATTACATTTGATAAATTTAGATTTACATAATTAAAACATGTTTTAACATTAATTTAGATTACAATATAAATCTTATTTTAAAACAGCATAATAAACCAATTTTAAAATATAATATTTTTATTACTAATTATTAAATCAATTAAATGACACATTTATTTATGTCCAATGATGTGCCCTTAATGTCCATAACGTTTGGTTATAATTATTCATTATGAAATTACAATATAACATAAATTTATCATTTCCATTTTAATACTATTATAATAATAATCAAAACAAATAGCATTTGTTTTAAACTAAATTTCTCATGTTTGTTTTTAATAATTGATTGTATATTATGTATGCTCTTGATACAATGATAATTTAATAGTCAATAAAACAATAAATCAGTGTAATTTTTGTTGTAATTAATTTATTATAGTTAATTAAAACAATATATTGTCCGTTAATTAATTCTAGTTTAGCCTGTTTGCTATTGCTACTTATTTTGTCGATAAGTTTATTATTTTAAGTTAATTAATAATTTTATTTTCTTTTAAAAATTGCAATTTAAATTTTATGGCATATTTATTATATATTTAAAGACTATTTTATAAGTTATTAACATATTTAAATTTAAACCTACAATAAAATGTTCAGGATTTGATTTTGCCCCAAGATAAATAATTACAACAATAACAACATATTTTATTAGTTTAATCAGGATTAATTTACAGTTTTTAATTATAATTATATAAGTAACATTAAATATTATATTTAACTTTAAGGATTTTTGTTATAAAATAGTTATTATGAAAAATATCAAATAAATATGATAATATTTTACTGAAAAATAATTTTTCTATTTTTCTTCACATATAATTAAAACTAAAAATTATAGTATTTTTAAATATCGATCAAATTATTATTATCGTGCAATTTATTTATGATAATAAAAAATCATTTGTTAAAAATTATTATTGCAACAATGTAAGCGCGTAAAATATCAAACTAGTTATTATACAGTATGTATGTCCCATAACTGATACAATACTTATGACAGCTCTAATCAGAGAGAGAGAGAGAGAGAGAGAGAGAGAGAGTAGAATTTATAAAAACTGTTATTGTGTAATAATATAAAATAAGATATAACATTTTATATTAAATATAATACAATTTGGAGATTATAAAAAAGTTATTAAACAATATTTTGCTGTAAAACATACCATTCGTTATAATTTTGATATTAAATAAGAATAATATTGTTGAATTTAATTAGTATGAACTGCAATTGTGTAATAATATAAAATAGAGTATAATATTTCATATTAAATATAACAGTATTTTGTAATAAGTTCGAACACCACATAAGTTTAAATTTTGTTGCTGTAAGTTACAGCCTGTAACGCGTGATATATGTTATAATTTTTTATAATAATATTGTTGAATTTAATTTTCATATCCCGATGTACAATATTTGCAGTAATTGTTAATGTTTGCACATGACATGCTGATCACAATTTTCGTGATAATTTTATTTTTAATTCAAATTTAAATATATTTTCGTTTTATTTCAAACAATTTAAATTGTATTTACTTATTTTTTATTTAAATTGTATAATTTGTCGAAACTATTGCTAGATACAATAACCAAAATTTTTATCAAAAACTGTTAATATATAATTTAAACATAATTATATTGGTATTGATAATATTAAGTTAATATTTCTGGATAACAATGCTCACTCATAAATAAATTATTTTGATTTAACGTACATTAAACA